AATAATCTAGCTACGTCCTAAGTCCCTGCAGACGCTTATCATTTATGATAAGCTATATATCTACTTACTTTACTTAAGGTTCCTTATTGTCACTCTGAATCCCTACCTCCCTCCTTCCTGAAATCCAAATTATTCAATAATTTGTAGGGTTGTCCTTCAAAAATTTCTACATACGATCTTAGAAACGCAAATCAGGAAGAACACAACACTTCAGTTCCTAAAATCCATCAGTTAAAAAATCACAAAACACAATTTTTTTTTTAACATTTAAAATACATTTATTAATTTCTCCTTTTTTCCATAAATAGCCAAAAACATGTTCTTCAAAGTTGGCCTTTTAATTTCCATATCCATCTAGTTTTTTTGTTTGTCTTCTTTACATTCAAATCAACTTTTTTTTTATTTATTTTTTTACCATTTTTTTCAATTTTATTAGTTTTTTGTTCTCATTATTATTATTTTTTTTTTCACAAAAGAAAATACTTTCTTCATTCATAATTTAATACGAATATAAATTTTTGTTTTTTTTCTTCGATTTTTTTTTGTGTCTCTTAGTTTGACTAATTTATTTTAAATGTATTTTTTTCACTTTTCCTGTCTCACTTGAAAAATGTTTTTCATCATCGCTCACATCTTTTTTTTTTGTTTGTGTTATGCGCAGCAATTTTTCATACTTATTATTTTTTTTGGAAAAATATATATATTGAGTTAAGGTAGTTTATTTAGAGAGGGGATTTGTCATTAAACTTCTTTCCGCATTTTCTTGAATCTTCTTTTTGGTTTTTTTTTGAAAATTATGTTTTTTAACAATTTTTTATATATAATCTTTTTATAAAGTTATTTCCTCTTATTTTCATATTATAAAACATTGAGTATCTGAATTTAAATGCAGATTTTTTTTATCGTCTCATTTTTGACTCTTGAATATTTTTTTTTGATTTTTTGAAATCGTTTTTAAGGATTTTAAATTAAAATATTTTTTAAAACTTTTTTGAGCGATGTTGGAAATTTATTTGAAATTATGTGATGATAATTTTCTTTGAAATAATTAATTCAAGATAAGATTTAAGTGTCGTTCAGAAATGACGTCAAATTTTAAAAACCTCATTTTTAAATGTTCCCTATTTGACAGATTTTTTTTTAATTTTAAATTTTCATTTCTAGAAAATTTTGATAATTTTTCTCAGTGCTAGAAAAACAGTAGCTAGCTTGAGGCGACATCTAAGAGAGGCCATGGTTCATAATTGATCTATACGACCAGAGAATTAAGTAAGTAAGCTAGAAAACAGCATTGAAAAACTTACACAACAAGATTGGAACCAAGAATTCATATCCAACTCGGAACGACTAAACCATTTAAATATAGTGACTTCAAGGTCTCAGAACTGAAAGTTCTCGTTAATTTTAAAAAAAAGTAGTTCGAGATTTCAAGTACTGATACCTTGAAATCAACAATATCCTTCAACTTGTAATATTTATCACATCTCAGCACTCAAGCTTGTTCATTTACTTCAGCTAAGTTAGTCATTTATTAAATTGAATTTGAACAGAAATTTTTCATAAATTTCGTTCATCTTCTGTTTAATAAAAGCTTAACTTCAATACATCATTGGCAAAAGTGTTTGTGCTTTTTTTGAACGATATTATTTGTGGTAAACCATGATCGAAACAACATCCAGCGTACGGTTCGTGGGATTTATTGGCATTACAGTAGTGTACCCCAAAACATAGGTTGGTCATCACTGAACTAGGTTTTAAAGTGAGTCAGATTTGGGTGAGTTAAATTTTTAAATATCGTTTAAAAGTTTTAGTTCGAAACTTTAAGGTTATAAAAATGTTAAGTTATCCTAGCTTCCGAAAGGATTTTTCTGGAACCACAAGATGAGAACTTAAGATCCTAACTCAAAGTAAGTGTTACAACTCTGTTGCTAGAACATGAATTCTTAAAGATTTTTTTGACTATTTTATCATCAAATAAACTCAAATAAATTTCCAAATCACTCAAAAATTCTTCAAATTGCGGAAATATTTTGAATTTTTCTCAATTATTTGTACGGAATTTAAAAATTTAATTTCAAAACCGTTTTCAAGTTTATTTTGAACTTTCAAATTCCATAAAACTTTTTAAATTTCCGTTAAAAATGTTCAAAAAAAATTCAATATTCATTTCCAACTCAGATTTTTTGTTGTATGTTGATAATAAAATTTGTAACGGATTTTTAAATTTTGAATTTTTGTAGAAATTCTTTGAGTATTGAAAAATTTTTAACGATTAATTTTTTAATCTTCACGATTAATCCAAAAATTGTTTATATTTATATGTATATTTTTAAAAGCGCTTTGAAAACTGGATTAATTTTTGAAGAATTTAAAAATTAGTTGATAAAAATTTTCCAAATTTTAATCTCCACTTTGACTTTTTGAACTTCCACGCTGAGAAAGCATGAATGTTATTGTTTTTATTTCTTAAATTTTATTCGTTAATATTTTTAATTATTGTTGAATTTTTTATATCTCATTCCTTTAAATGACTGAAAATGTCGATGAACATGCATTCAATTATAAAATTTGAGTCATGAGCCCCATCTGGACATGAGAAAGGATCTAATTTCTCTCAATTTCCAGAACAAAAACCCAAATTTTACGATCAAAAATTTCGCTCATCAAAATTTCAGCGCCAAAAAACTTCGAAGAAGGATTAAATAATTTTTTTATTATTATATCTTTTACAAATGACTTTTCGTTTTTAATATGAGAAAAAATCATCGCTTATATACTTTTTTGTCATAAAATCTATAAAGGACGATATTTTGAGATAGTTAATCAATTATTTATTTTGATATTTTTTAAATTTTACTTCTCATTTTTTTTTGTATTCAGACTTTAAATTTAATTTTTTTTCTCTACTTTCGTTTTTTCTTGCCGGGCTTAAATGAAATTTTAAAGAAGAAATTTTACACACCTTTAAAACTTCATTTGAACCTCACAAAAATTATATTAATTCCTATCAATTTGTAAGCAATTTGGGGTGATTTTCCTCCCTAATTGTGACTACAAGTTACGTTCAAAAATTTACAATCCAGAAAAATTCACCTCAAATTTCGTAAAAATTGAAATTCTATCGTCATCTAAATTTTTTTGTCTTCTTAAATTTGAGTATTTTTTTTTATATAGCTGCACTGTTAAATTTCCTTTAATTTGAAGATATTTTCATTTTTTTTCCTTTTTGCTTATGAAAAAATAAAAAATAAGTTGTATTTTATATTTCTATATCGAGTAAATTTTTAAACTTTCACTCGTATTATTTTTTAACTTAAAAATTCTTCTTTTGTACTGAAATTAAATCTTTTTTGCTAAAAATCAAAAACTTTTTTTGAAAAAAATCTTCTTTTTGATTCTCATAAATTCATTTGCACTAAAACGCGCATTTAACTGTTGTTGTCCATTTTTTGATCCTTTTTTTGTTGAAAAATTGTACGCATACTTTGAACTTTGAAATAAATTTGAAACTGGATTTTTAAGTTAAGTCAGGAAGTTGAAAATTATAAAATAATTTGAAAAGTTGAAAACTGATTTCAAAATATTGAACAATTGAATTTTTTGAGAAAACAATTTTAATTTTTAAATTAAAAATCTTAAAACTTCTTTTTCTAGACTTTGAAAAAACGGAAAAAACAAAAACAAATTCAAAACATTATTAATTGATTTTATACTCAATAAAATCCAATTTCTTTTTTTAAAACTAATATTTTGGATAAGTGACTTTTTTCAAGGACATAAAAATTGACTACTGAACATTTTTTCTAAATTTTAAAATAGATTTTTAATGAAAGTGTTAAAAAAATAAAATTAAAGCTTCGAAACAAATCTTCTTGATACATTTGCAATAACTTAATAAATAAATTCTCAATCTCTTTTTTATCGCAAATTTCAAATATTTAATTAAATTTAGTAATTCTTTTCTGGTTTTAATTTAAAACTCTTAAGAAATAAATGTCATAAAATATTCAGTCTTACTTTCAAAAACTCTTTTTTTTGTGTAAATTAAATTTTCATTGTTTTTTCTTTCATTGAACCTTTCGTTTAAATTACTGATTAATAACTAATTGATTTCATAGCTGCTCCACTTGAATTAGTGAATTAGTGCAAGATTTTAGACTGTGAAATCGAATAGTCATGACTAAATGGTGATAAGTTTTGAATGTGTTTGAAAGTTGAAGGTCTTTAGCAGCAAATACTTTTTTATATGCTTGATTTTTGTGCTGGTTTTATTTTTTTGATACTTGCTGGACTTTTATTGTTCATTTAATTTTCTAATTTTAATTTTTAAAAATTAAAACGATATTTAAAAAATCAAATTTTTAATGAATTTAATAAAATTCAAATTTTACCGATTTTGTGAAACTCAAATTTAAACGATTTATAAAAAATTCAAATTTTAAATTTTATTTCATATTTAAATTTTAATTTTGCAATTTTTCGAACTTTCAAAAGAAAAAAAATAATAAACTTAAAATCACATTCAAAACTCTTCAACCAATGTATCCTATCTTGTTTACAACCCTATCATCTCCATTTCCTTGTATGTTTTTCTAATTAAAATTAAAATCATTGAATTTACTTTTTCATTCATAATTCTCACTTTTCTTTTAAATTTGGTTTTTTTATTAAATTCTAAAGTTACGAAATTTATAATTTCGATATTGTTTTTATTTTTTGTTCTTTATATTTTCAAATATATACTTCTTTATATCTCTCATGTGTTACTTTAATAACCACTAAAATTAAATTTATTTCTTTTTTCATCATTAATATATAATTTATATACTTATAATATAATTCATTTGAGCCTTATGTTCGCGACTGTTTTTTGTGTTTATCGTGAATAAACAGAGAAGTCAAGGTGTGAGAAGTTTTGGAGGTTATTTAAAGTTTGAAACGTTTTAAGTTTATTTTCAAAAATTTAAAAAAATTTGACACTTTTCACTTTTTTCAAAATTCTTTGAAGTACCCTCAAAACTTTCCCACGTCTTGTCAGAAATCGTAATTATTTTTTCACAATGAAAAATTATTTTTTATAAGTTTTCAATATAATTATAATTTTTTTAATTTAATTTATAATGTCTATATAATAATTGGAAAGACTAATATACAATTGAGATTCTATTTCACTTCACTTTCTTTTGAATATTTACAAGATTTTTTTAATTTATTTTTTACTTTTTAAAAAACTTTTTTTTTTCATCATTTTGTATTTCTCAAAATTTTCTAGTTTTTGGTTTTCTTTGGCACATATTTCACTTTCTCTGCGTTCCACAGATATTTTATTTTTACAAATTGGGAAATTTTGTTGAGAAAAATTGAAAAAATAAAATTTTGAAATTAAATCCGGGTGTGTTTTTTGATAGCTGAACACTAGGTTTTAGTTTTGACTTTGATTGGCAACCATCAAAGGTACTCCCTACGTCACCTAATATTTTTTTTAAAGTTTTAACTTTCTCTTTTCCAATTTAGAACTTAAAATGTTTCCCCTTAAAATTGAGCTTCAGTTGAAAATAAAAATAAATTTTGATCCCAATAACCAAAAACATTTACGTCTATCTAGCCATATTAGGTCTAAAATGAACCATAAACGCAATTTGGTTACAAAGAGCTTTCATGTCTACATCTATAGATTTTCTTAAATCATTTTCATTCTCATTCGACCTTCTGTTCGCAATTCTTGGATTTTTTTTACAAAAATAAATCTTCTGTCTAATCCTCAATTGATCATGATCCATCAAATGAACCTCAATTCACTAAAAAATTGTTGTCATCTTCCCTCAAAAAATTTACAATTTACTTTTCATTCTTCTTTCACATCACTCACAGGCTGTCCTACTATCTACTTACAATTATCCTGTATTTTTCATCATTGAAGTCTTAAAAATTAAATCTTTTTTTTTTATAAATAGAATTTTTTTTTCTTGAAGAAAATTAAGACATTTATCCAATTGTCGATAAGATTGCTGAATGTGATGGCATTGGTGATGGATTTCCTGATGACATCATTGTTGATGATGCTGTCTCTTGGCCGCAACTTAAGACTTTCTCTTCGTATACACGATCCTGATAGATAATAAGGATAAAGAATTAAGTTTGGGTAATATTAAGTCAAATAGAAGATGTTTAGATCTGTTCAGGTACTGGTTCCGTAAGCTATCTGTGACAATCAACTTTAATATCGAAACTAGATATCCTACACTCTGGGATATCAATAAGGTTGATTGTAATAAATAGGTTGAATTGAGCAGCACTAGAAACCAGCTCTCGATCATTCCAATTTATGGAAGTAATCTGTAAACTCGACTATTCAGTGACCAAACGTTTTTGAACTTGAACAGAGCATGTTATGCTACCTAGCTTTGAAGCTTAAACACAATATAGAACAATCTAAGATAATCTGAGTAGTTTAATGACTAGAACCTAGACTAAGCAAAGCTTTTGGCATTCAGCCTTAGTTATATCACAGATAGCTTTACCCTACCCTTAACCATATTCAAATTCATTTTACAATCTAACCATTAGCATTTCAATTCCTTACCTGAGCTTTATCATATTTAAACCTCTTAAAGAATGTGCTTTTGCCAGGCTCATCATTGTATCCTGATCCATTGTAGTTCGGATTTGAGAATGTCAGCCTTTGCTTGTTTTTCTCTTTCTTCTTTGAATGACAAACGAGGACTGAAAAATTCAAAAAAAACTTTAATTTTGTTCCTTAAATAATGATTCTAATTAGGCTTACAAAGAATAGCAGACACGACTAGGACTAGCAGTGCAGTCATAATAATGATAATTGCAATCATAATAGATGATTCACTGCTTCGTTGTTGCACAGGATAGAGATCTTCATTCTTTAAAACCATTGTCAGTGTTGTTTCATCACCATCCGGTGGTTTCATGCTGGATTCCTTTATTTCACGTTTGCATGGTCGATCGATGAAGTTTGGACATTCACAAACATATTTCTTGCCGCCAAGATAGAGACAGAGGAATGCACATCCACCATTTGATTCATTACATGGATTAAAGTAATTTGGTTGACGTTCAGCTGACACAGAACGGATTTCCAAAGCACCACGAAGATTATGTCTTACTTCTTCAGCATTTGCATTTTGATGGCGTGCAACTCGCATTATTGACTTATTAAACCAATCGGAATAGTAAAAGTAACTATTGGTTAAAGTAAATCCAAAAGGATGTTCAGCATGATCAATTACACGTTTCCTATGCTTTCCATCAAAATCAGACATTTCAACACGATCGTGTAGAGCATCAGCCCAGAATAATTTTCGTGCTAGAAAATCTATTGCAAGACCAGTCGGGAATCCCAAATCAGAATTGACAACAACTTTTCGATCACTTCCGTCCAATAAGCTTCTCTCAATTCTAGCTGAATGACCCCAGTCAGCAAAGAATAGCATCTGCTTATACACAATCATTGATCGAACATCATCAAGATCAGTTCTCAAGAGTGTCTTTCTGTAATTCCCATCAAGTCGCGATACTTCAATCATCTTCAAAGCTGAATCAGACCAATAAAGATTATTAGCAATCCAGTCGACACACAATCCATTAGGCGTATTTAATCCTGTCGATATAATTGTCTTTATATCATTATGATTCTTCATATTAACACGTTTAATAGCATCAGCATTAACATCAGCATAGAATAAATAGTTTTTAGTATGATGATAATCAACAACAACAGCACCATGAACACCATCAATAGGTAAAACGACATCAAACATTTCGGGAGTATCGAGTGATATCCTCCCAATACCTGAGCGTAGAGCAATTAATAAGTATGAATTTGGCAAGTCTTCACAATTCTTTCCGTCTTCTCTCATTTTTAAGCCAGTTGGACATTGACATGAGTAGCCTTTTGGCTTTCTTAAGCATAAATGTGAGCATCCACCATTGTTATTGCCACAACTATTCACATCAAGACGTTCATTTGTATTTACAACTTTAACATCCATTAAACCTTCAAGATTTCCAGTTATTATTGTACGAGCAGTTAAATTATTCTTGTTGATGGAATGAAGAGCATTTGTCTTCCAGTCAGTGTAGTAAATTTTAGTTTTTGTTACTGCAATTCCATAAGGATGCTCTTCATTGCGAAAATCGACAATTGTTTGATGGAAGTTGCCATCAAAGTCACACATCTTTATGTGATGAAGCTGTAAATGTAAAGATTCGATCTTAGTATGGCTATAATAAAACTCACAACTTAACTTACCTTAGCATCAGTCCAATAAAGATTCTTTCTTTGTTTATCAACAGCTAATCCATTAGGCCATCCAAGTTCTGTAGTTATAATTCTTGATCGTCTTTCACCATCCATATCAGACCTCTCGATTCTTGGCAATGTACCCCAGTCAGAGAAGAACAGATATCCCATTTCATAGTCTATAGCAATAGCACGTGGAGATTCTAGATCTTGCCATACAAGAACTTTTCGATGACTTCCATCAAGCTCCGATACTTCAATGCTTCGTCTACCGGCATCGGTGAAGTAAATTTTGCGTGAAATTGAGCAAATGACCATTCCGTCAACGCTATCCATGCTCTCACTTAATATCTGTTGTACATTTTGTCCATCAGCCGAACTTCGCATGATTAAGTCTTCAATATTATCAGCCCAGTAAATATCACCCGTTACTATATCAACATCGACAGCATAAACATTTGATATTTGAGATAGCGGAAGGACGACATCAATCATGTAATCAATATCTAATGAAATTTGACGAATGTCAGTTCGATGAGCAAAGATGATGTAACTACTTGGACCATCTTTACATGTTTTATTATCGCCTGTTAATTTCACGCCAATTGGACATGCGCAACGTGTTGATGGAATTGATGATGATGGAATTTCCTCAAGTGGACTTAATAAGCACATGTGTGAACATCCACCATTATTTTTACCACACGGGTTACGAATATTCTTTCGATTACGATGAAATACGCGTATATCCATCAAATCACTTGTCTCTGTAATAATTGACTTCCGTTCACGTCCAGTATTCTTATCAGCCATTATTACACTTTGCAAATCCCAATCAGATATGAAAACATATCGATCGTAGATATCGATACCAAAGGGATGCTGAAGACCATCAGCAATCAATCGATTTCGTCCAGTTCCATCAAAATTGACAAATTCTAAAGCTTTTGTACCGGCATCAACAAAATAGAGACGATTATTGGCATAATCAATAGTGATACCATTTGGATATTGTAGATTCTCAGAGACAATTGGAGTTCTATGTGAGCCATCCATTCCAGCACGTTCAATTAATGGAGTTTCGCTCCAGTCACTCCAAAACATGATTCCTTGTAATGGATGAACAACAATGTCACGTGGTTTAAGCAAATTTTGCCACACAAGAAGAGCTCGTTGGTGTCCATCAATTGATGCAACTTCAATGCGACTTGTTCCTGCATCTGTCCAGTAAAGTTTATTAGTAATCCAATCAAGTGCCAAACCAGCTGGTGATACAAGACCGTCTTGAATGACAGTTTCTTGATTACTTCCATTCAGGAATGCTCGATTAATTGTGCTTTTTCCAACATCACTCCAATAGATCCTGTCAGTTCTGCTACACCAGTCAAGAGCAACTGTAGACTTGAGATTGTCGAGTGGAATATTGTTGTCTACTTCCTTAGGATTTCTTGATTCCAATTGCTTAATTCGTATATCCTTCTTTCTAGCCAAAATGAGTAATCTATCTGGAACTGTTGTGCATGTCTTCTGATCATCAAGTAATGTCAATCCAATTGGGCATGCACATCGTCGAGAGTTTCTATTAGGCAAGCATAAATGAGAGCATCCGCCTTTTAACTTCTTCCTATCTTCAGCACATCGATTTTCAAATTTAGGCTGACGAGCTTTATGATAGCTGTGGATATCCATTGGAAAGTGCAATCCTTCATGAACATGACGGAAGTTCTTTCCAGTTACTTTGTTCGCAGATGAAATTGTCTTCGTGTGCCTGATTATTAAAAAAAAAAAGAGATTAATGTATTATAAGGAATGTGCTTAGCTATTCCAACTTGGATTCTCTGTGGTATGTAGCTATATGAAATGCAGCCACAGACTATCCAAGTTCGAGTATTTACTCACCAATCTGTCCAAAATAAGTTATCCTCAAAGATTGTGAGAGCAAATGGATGAGGTAAGTTGTTGCTTAATATCTTCTTTCTGTCACTTCCATCAAGACGAGAATTTTCAATCACGTGATGCTTTGCATCTGCCCAAAAGATTCTGTCTGTTGCGAAATCTAGTGCTAAACCTGTAAGTGGAGATAAATTGATGATTAATGAGGTCTAATATTTTCAGGGAGAACTTACCATTAGGCCAGTAGATTCCATCATTTGTGATTGCCGTTCTTTCACTTCCATCCATGAATGCACGCTCAATTTTAGCATTCGGACCCCAATCACTCCAGAACACGAAACTGTAAATTATTTTAAAAGTTATTATTGATGGATATCCTTAGAAATCAAGTTATACTTACTATTTTCCAGGATGAACAACAATAGCTCGTGGTTTATCTAAGTCATTAGCTGCCAAAACTGCACGAAGTTTACCATCATATGTGGATACTTCAACTCTACGTGTACCTGAATCAGTCCAAAATATAAGCTCGTGTACCCAATCGACTGATAGTCCTCCGGGACTTTCTAAGCCTGTAAATTTATAATTTCCATAAATTATAAAATAAATCTAAAGATAGCTTAATCATGAATATCTTACCCCATTTGATGACATCCTTTACATTCGTTCCATTAATGAATGACTGCTTAATTACATCAGCAGAAACATCCGTCCAAAATAGTAAATCCTTTTCATAATGATAGTCAAGGGCGATGGCATTTGGAAGTCCTTTAATGATTGACGTATATTGATTGTTACTCAACGTTACTTGGCGAATGTCACCACGATTTGCCATAATTAATTTGACAGCACCGCCAAGTGCTTTACAAGTTCTTAAATCTGGTCGTAAGACATAACCAGTGATGCAACCGCAACTGTTACGAAATAAAAATTTGTAATTATTTTTATGATATAACAAAAATTTTAATGAAATCAAAAAACCCACATGAAGCTTCCAACAGTATTATTACATGTCTGGCTGCAAGGATTATTTGTGAATTCACATTCATTGATGTCATTACACGTGAATCCATCAGCTGCCAACACATAACCGACTTTACAAGAGCATTCTTCTTTTCCTGACACCAAGTTTGTGGCACACAATTGTTGACATTTTGTATTGGCTGGACATGGATGAATTGTTGGACAACTTTCTTCATCTTCTCCCTGAATGCAGTCCTTATGTCCATCACAAATGTGCTTTTGACTTACACAATAATTTTGTCTTCGTTCTCTTGGCGAGATAATTTTCGATGGACATGAAAATTGCCCAATATCGCATTTAACATCACAATCAGCTTCATCTTCGCCACGCTTACAATCGGATGTGCCATCACATACCCAAGACTTTAAAATACAACGACTATCCTTGCATGTATATTCATCATCATTGCATTCACGATTATTATTGCCAATATCACTGCAATCTTTCTCATCTTCACCGCTGTCGCAATCCTGTTCCTGATCACATTTCCATCTGAGTGGTATGCAACGTCCATCATCACATTTAAATTCATTCGATGTGCAGCTGATGGATTTCTTTGGACAATTTTCTTCGTCTGACCAATCACCACAATCATTGTCGCTGGAAGATAAGGGATAATATTAAGGCATGGAATTAAAATAATATATTTTTTAAGATTCTCACCCATCACAACGGAATCGCTGAAGAATACATCGACCACCAGGTCCACCCATTCCACCTAATAATCCTTTACATTTAAATTCACCCTCTGGACAATTTGGCAGTGGAAAGTCGCAGTTCATCTCATCGCTATTATCTTCACAATCTTGTTCGCCATCACATTTGAATGCCAGCGATATGCAGCTATCATCCAAGCACTGGAATTCATCATTCGTGCAACTGTAAAAAAATGAGAGAGCAAGAAAAGATCATTAAGTATCACTGGAAGCTGAGAGAATTGGAAATGAGAAGAAAAAGTATAATTGAGAGTAAAGAAGAATTATTTTCTGCTTTACTTCTGTCGAGTTCTTTTGAGCCGAGTGGGCGCTCTCTCTCATCATAATATGCGCCGTAAAATGTATCAATGATTTTCATTCATGCTTTTCATTTCGCATAAAATTAGATAAAGATTTAGTTAAGAAAAAAAAAACACACATACAAAACAACGGAGCGGCAGTATGGAAAAGCAACAATAACAGAAAATAGATGCCACCTACGCATCTTTGACATTGAAAATGAGAAGGAAAGGAAAGGAATGAGAGAAGAAATGGCAAATTGTAAAAGATATTGTTTAAGGTCTTGGACGAAAGATAAGAATGAAAGTATTAGATGATGAAGCAAAAAGATGCATATTGTGGTTAATGCTTAATGAATGAAAGAATTTGAAATTGTTTATATGGTGACTGGATTTTAGGAGATGCTTAGAGTTTTTCAATTCATCTTTCGCTGAATCGCCCACAAGTTTTGCTATTTGACATCGTTTATTTAATAATTTCTATTTTCTGGAATATTTTGTGTGGATTTAATTGAGATTTTTTTGATTTTCTTTGAATTTCTAAATTTACTAGAGGATTTATAAATGGATTTTGATGTTAGGTAGGCAGTTAAAACTAAAAGTGTCTTATAAGATGGTAAATAAAATGTTGATCCACCTGATAGTCAAGTAGAAAGTCTTGTTTGAACCAAAAAACATTACCTAAGACCAACAAACCAAAAACCAAAAATCACGAACTAAGAACCAATTCACTAAGCAATGGCTGTCAAGCAGATGTAGTTTAGTTCTAAGTTAACATGATCTCTTATTAAAACCAAATTCACGTGATCTTCCTAAGGTTTTCAATTTTAACACCCAAAATAACTCAAATGTTCAGCAATCCCACAAACTATTCATGCTCCTGAATATCACGTAGTCCCAAAGTACTTTAATAATGCATTTATCCAACTATAATAATATTACATACAATGTCTCATGAACTCCATGGTAAAGGAGAAAAATCTCAGAAAAATGACAATCAATTTTCCCACATCTTTGAAAATCAAGGCTAATAAAATATTTCATACTGAGAGAGTTCGATTCGAATGACTGTTTTCTTTTTTGTTCCGAGTAACTCCCGCGTAGAGATTTATTTTACTTATTACTCATTTAATCCAATTTCCTGGTAGAAATCATTATCGTATTGTTGGTATCTTGATTCGAAGTGTATTTGGATTTTACCGGGTTTTTGAATGGAAAGGTTTACCTTAAACTTAACTTGACTCTTGTTAAAATTAATATATAATTCGATACCTGAGAGAAACAAAGATTCAACCAAAAATTGAGAATTAGAGCTGTGATTCACACTTTATCTGTCCAACTAGCAATGTAAGGCCTAGCAAAGCACTTCTGTGGATTTTAGGGGTAATTCCTAATTTTCTAGGTTAGTGTATCTCGAGTAACTCTTGAAATCGAAGCCAGTTTTTGTATGCATGTATGTATTTCATTACTGCATGATTTATCAAGCTAAAGTCTGACTTTAAAACCAATGAAACTCTTAAACAATAAAAACAATTCCACATTGAAGCAGACTTTTACAATTCCACGAAACACCCACAGTAAGATCAATTCATCTTCACCCTTTCTTCTTATTAGGGGTCGATCGCTGAGTATGGCTAGCAGTTTAGCGGGAAGTGTGAGAAACGAGGGGAGGGGGGGGTGGTTGGTAATGTTTAGGGATGTTGTTCGTACAAAATTTGTATAAGAGTGAAAAAGGCTTTTTTGAGTTACGTAATTAATTAATCGTTCCTCATCTTCACCATCGAAAATAGTTATTAAGGATTGACTTTTTTTGATATTTCTCAGTGGGATGTTTATAAAAATAAATAACAATAAATCACAAAAAATTAATGAAAATTCCACGAATTATTGATTTTTATCATCTGCCTTCATCAATTCCCTCCGATAGTTGAAGCATTAATAATTAATAGCGGAGGTGGTGAAAAACTTACGTTCTTGTACAATTCGATTCATCAGATCCATCACGACAATCATTGTCTCCATCTAAATTATAGAATGGAAAAGAAAAAATAGATAATTATAGAAAATGATAATAAAGCATTAAGAAGTTACGTCAATTAATTGTACTGAATAAATAAATCTACATTTCAATTATTAATTACTATAGATATTCTGTTGACTTGACGATAAGTAGTGAGAAGAACGCAAGCATTAATTTTATTTATGAATAAACAGAAACTTTCAGGGAAATAGTCGTCATACATTTGATGACTTTAGAATTGTGCAAATATTTTGTTAAAATGGCTATGTTGATAGATATTCTATAAATAGTCACTGAAATTTGATATTTTGTCAACTATGAAATTTTTTATTAGAATTTGAAGAATGAATGATTTTATTTGTATCTTAATAGCAATCATGTTCTTGAATGTGAAGTGATGCGAACTTTCAGTAGTTTAGCCAAGAGGGATGCAATCGCCACAGTATTGATAGGAATATAAGATTAAATCTATTATAGCATGCATGAATCCAGGCTAGGGTATTTTCTACACTTTATTTTACCATTGTTTACCAGTTTTAACATCGAGAGGATTCTTAATCATAAGAAAGATCATAGCTCTGGTGAGAATCAAGCCCAAGTCGTAACAGAAGAGAATTACAAAGATCTAGTCTGTTACCAAGTCACTCAGCCCCACTGGCAGATTAGTTTGGATTTGAGCTACAAATCTGCTTATTATAGCTGCTTTGAGCAATTGCTAGACGCATCATTTGATTTATTAAACCATAATTGACATAAAAAGCTGCGTCATTTGATTTGAACATATATCAAAATCCACTGTAAATAATTAAAATGCCAACCTGGAAACAAATTTTCCATTTCATTCACAAAGAGAAGCTTAATAGCTTTTCATAATTAGGTGTATATATCTACATCATGATTTTATGGTTCAATAAATCTCACATTTGATCTTTTGATTGCTCCTAATATCATATTAAGTTATTTATTGAGGATTTAAACAAAACTACGCAACAATTTCGTCAGCCATGGCAATGTCATTCAATTGGATTATAACATTTATGGTCTGGGTTGATTATAATTTGATGAAATTTTTGATTTCTATTGCTATTTTAAGAAATGTGAGCTTGTTTGTTGTTTTAAACCTTCAAAAAGTTCAAAATTCACGCTACCCACTTTTGTCTGAATCGATAAGTTATCCTTTAATTTTCTGACAAATGTTAAGGATGTAGAAATGCATTAATTTGCTGAAATTCTTGACACTACCTTTAATTGCAAGCATTAGGCTTAAGGCAAAACTAGTTGTATGTGTGTTACACATAGTCGAAGTATAACAAGGACCTGGGCACTCAGATTTAAGAGTCTATTGCGGACGTGTGTTCGATTTCAGCCTAACCCGAATTGTTTTACATCATTACACATATACAGCAGTTTTAGAGATAAATCAACATTAGCTAAAGTGAACTTGATTCTAATTCGAACCGATCAAAATCATCGAAAGTCAATTGATCAATCTTACTCCAATCTGTTCACTTTTAAGTAAATTTGCACATTATTTTGCACTTTCACAATCACGAAATCTCGGTTCTTTCTTTGTTTATTCATATCTAAATATCATCTCGTCTATCAGCTAAAAAAGTCAACAAAACACATCGATTTGACAGTTTTACTTACCACACATCCATTCCTGAGGAACACACAATCCATTGTTGCATTCAAATTGATCATCTGAGCAATTAGTTTTAGCTCCGCAATGCGTTTCATCCGTAAAATCATTGCAATCGTCATCGCCATCTTTAAAATGAATAATGTTCAAAAATTATTATTTTCTGTGCCGTGGATCTTTAATTGTTTAGGACTTTAGATAATAAATAAATTTGTGGAAATAAAGCTGTGGATGATGCTGATTAATAAGTAATTGTTGGAATTTCAAGTACAAAAATTTGAAGGATTTTGTTTTTGTTTTGAAAGAACTTTCTTGAGACTAAAATAGTAAAAAAGAAGAACTTTTTCATAAACTAAAAGCTTTTCTTGCTGTTCTTAAAATTTAATATCACATTTTATAAGGATCTACATCTAGGGGAGTCCCTAAGTGCCCAAGAACAATAAAACCAAATGTGATCTTATTCTTAGCTAATTGCTAATCACAATATTCAGAGTTTTCTTTCAATTCTAAAATGGAGCCATTCGTAAATGTCGTTTAACATCAAAGATTGCTGCACTTGTCAAGCACTGTCTCTGCCTGAATGAAAAATTAACTAGAAGTTTTGTCCATCTCTTGAATTGCCAGCACATTTTCAAGATTCTGCAGCACAACATTTATTATAGTTCCAGAAAAATCAACAAACACACCAAATCACTAATCACACATCTCCACAAATTTCCTCATCACTAAACTTACCACACAGCCAATCTTGCTTAATACAAATGAACGTATTTGGACACATAATATGCTGCGACAAAGTATTTCCTTCACATTCACTCTTCATCTTCTTAATCATCTCCTCAGTTACTTCACATTCCTCTTCATCTTCAGCATCTGGTCCACAGTCAATTTGACCATCACAGTGTAAATCACTGTGAATGCATGAGCAGCTTTTTGAACAAAAGAATTCAGTAGGGCCACATTTGAGATCACATTCAACGGATGGTGTTCCTGAGCTTTGATGACTACTATCGAGAATTGCATCTTCCTCAAATAGAATGTCCTCATTTGGTGAGAAAATTTTATCGCGACTAATGCCAATGCCACCTGGATATGACGAATCTTCTCGTCTGATACCGAATTGTGATCGAATTGGATCAGTTATGGATGGAACATGCATAGGCGAATTTTTCGATCCAAATCGCATGTTTGGATAGCTTGGTGGCTTATGTGAATTTGTAATTGGCGATTGTGGCGCGTGATGATGTATGACCATAACACCATAATCTCCATGATTCTCGCGATGTAATCGATTCGTTATTTGCTCTTGCTTATCTCGATGAATTTTATTACTGAATGCATTCTCGTTCGTACTACGTAATGTTCCAGATCCATATGTGTTTCGTGCAGCACCATTATAGTCATTCTTTACAATATCCGGTAGATCAGTGACATCGTCACAAGTAACTGAAAAAGAATAAATTTTATTAATTATTTTACAATTATTTCGGTGCCTATTATTGAATTATCTCATTTTGGTGACTACGATAAGCTAGAAAAATGTCGCAGTTACTGCAATAAAATTCGCCTACTCATGAAAAATCCATCCATTATTCATAAAACTTTTTTTTTCATGCCTTTCTCGCACAAAATTCATGTCTTTTCCTTTCAATCAAACGGCCTCGAGAAATAAAAGACTGAAGACTGGTTGCACTTTACAGCGCATGCGTTAGACTCGAAAAAAAAAATTTTTTGGTACAGAATCCCAAATCGATACTTCATCCGAGGAAGCATCAAGCATCCCACGGACAGAAAAAAATTTTTCTTTCTTTCTTTTTTTTTTTTGATGAAAAGATGGAAGATTTTTTTGCGATTCTTTTTTATATTTGGGGATATATCTTACCTGATCCAATCGCATAAATTGACAGTAATGCTGTCGTTAAAACATAAAACATTCTTTGGATGATCTTGATATATTTCATTGAAAGCTTCGGATCTGAAGCTTTTTTCTTGTCCCGAAATGGAAAATTTTGCAGATTTTTTTTTCAATAAAATTTTTCAGCTTTTAACTTTTTTTTATTCCTGTACAATAATAAATTGAAAGTTCAGCTTTTGAATTATTTTTCAATAAATTCGATCCTTTCGATCGTTGATGGATAAAAATCTTCTCTTATATCCTTGTCGCATTATTAATCCATTTATATTTTAATTATTTTCACAAAAAAAGTTTTCTCGTTTTTGGTAATTTGAAGCACAAAATAAAGCTCAATAAGTTCACATAACTTCTATAATTTCATGATAGACCAACGAGAAAAAAAAAGGATGTAGGGTGTGTTAAAATTTTTCTTCCTTTCCACAACAACAACAATGATAAAAAAAATAATTTTTAATCTTCAATTTTCAGCAATAATTTCAATATTTTTTGGATTTTTACAGCATCATCAATCTCATAGACACAATGCTCAATAGTTTTTGATAAATTTTTTTTAATTATTCACAACTTTTTATCACTTTTAGTTAAAAATTCTTCTTCTTTTATATCAAAAAATTTTTCAATAGCTTGCAATCTCGTTTTTGAGGATTTTTTTTTTATTATTTCACAAGCGCGATCCGAATGAGACTGAAGGTTGAGATGAAAATTTTTCCTACTTTGTAAAAAAGATGCTTAACGAGTGCTTTCCATTCGTGAAACATATATTTAGTCTCTCTCATGCTCACAAGTCTGACTCTCTCATGATTTTTTTTGCTTCGTTTTCATCAAATTTCATTCATTGATGATTTTCAGCGGACGACGATGGAAAGAGACTGACTTTTTATTTTTATTTTGATGAATCATAAAAGTCATCACTTTCATGCCAATCGTGCTCGACTAACGAAATGATTGTGACTGTAAAAATATCATCGCTTTCTTCATGAATGACCGCATTAATGGTTGTCGTGTGACTTGTTTATTTACAAAAATTGCGTATCTTCTCGATTTTGAATTTTTTTCGACATTTATTTACGAATGTTTTTATTACATTGGACATAAAACGAAAAAAAAATCTCATGCGTGAGGCACTAGCATCAAGAAACATTAATTTTTTTTAAAAAAGTGATGATTGGGAAATCATTTGTTTTCATTCTGTTGACATTGCTCTTGCTTTATTTTGATTATAACTGTTGATTCATATTCCAGTGGATCCTGAAAGCTTTTTACTGGAAGGATTGATTTCTGCATCATTTGGAGCTTTTCAGGAATCAAAGCTTTTGAAATATTTGAAAATTGTTTGCTGTTGAATTAAATTTTATTGCTTTTACTTGATTTTAGTAATTTTCTCAGAAATTAGCATTGTCAATTTTTATCTGACACATAGATTGATGTTGCTGCTACTGATCAAGTCTGTGTTTCCTCAACATTCCAAAAAATACTCACAAGTTCTTTACAATTGAAGTTGGTAGAGAGTCTACGTTAGCTAAGCTTAGGTTAATAGTTTCAATAACAAATAAGTCCTTAACAGCCCTCTGAAACCCTCGATTGTTCCGAAAATTGTTTTGTATTGCCTGATTTTTGTATTGCTTGATTTTTGTATTGCCAGCCTTATTGCAAATGTTATTGCTTTTATAATTGAACTGAATTATGTTTAATTTTGATTAATACAGTTGTAAATGAGTTCACAGCTATAAATTGTAATATGATAAACTTAATCAAGTATTAAGTCGTACAAAATTCTGTAGAATTATAAATTGCATTTTATTGTTTTATATTCTTGAAAATTCAAATTGAATAGTTTTAAATTGAAATGAATTAAAATAAACTTTATTACTTAACACTTGATGAAAGTCTCACTATGCACAATGATTCAGAATCGAAAAAAATGTTCAAAAATTCAAAAATTTCATGTTAATTAAACTTTGCCTTTTAAATGCCAGATAAAAGATCTTTCCTTTGTGCATATCCTTTAAAAATATCTCGTTCCTATTTGCTGTCTAACTCCAGAAATCATTAATTTAATCTCACCCAAAATTTGTTTACAATTTGAGTATGGGCAATTCTTTGGATGAGTGGAATTTGAAAAAAATGAGCTTTCATAACCCAATGTCAATGAGTTTTGTGTCAATAAAATGTTTTCTTTAATTTCATATTACTACGAAGGAATAATCAGCCTAAATTTTCGTAGATCATTAAGCATAATTAAATCTTTACAAGTGATCTATTGAAATGTTACAACTCACCCAAATTAAGTGAAAAATTGAAAAAATATGTTTGAAAATTTTGTATTTTTTCACGGATGAAGACAAAAAAAAGCTTTTTTATAACTCGATGACACAAGGAAATCTTTCAAAGAATTGAAATATTTCAATAATTAATGATTTACAGCATATGGAAAAGCAACTTAATTAAAGATTTTTGCCTGATCTATAACTCAGTAAAAGTTATTCAATGTGGATATCAATAGTTTTCTCTAATTTTCGATTCTTCGGATGATGAAAATTGAAAATTCCGATTTCTGTCATCGAGTTATTGTCTGAAGAATCCAAATAACTTAATTAATATAGCGATTAGAAGTGCATGATATCAAAAGTAGTGTTCATTTTAGATTTTTACATCGATAAGAATCATAAAATCAGTGTCTCTGATGGGAAAAATCAATAAAATTTCGATTTTTTGCTGAAAATTTTCCAAAAGTCATCCAAAGAATTGCCCGTATGAAAAAAGAAATGTGATTTTTTCTACTTTAAGTTGTTATTTGGATGTCTTGAAAGCAGTTGCTAGCTAATTTAAGCTTAGCTCTACATATTAAAACAACCAACTCAATAGAAATCTGCTTATTAAGCCTTAAAAATGGAATTGAAATCTGAGTATTTTTAAAAAACAAAAACTATTCATAAGTTAAAAAGTCTTCCAAAGACCTCTCTGAAACCTATATAAATCAATTAAATAAGCTTTAATCTATCTCCCATATTACTGAGGACATGCCGTTTGATGCCGTTTTCGAGATATTTGCGATCAAAGTTTACATAAAATTTCATACAAAGTTTGATCATGCACAATATTTTTTGATAAACTTTTACAAACTTTTGATAAAAAAACATGTTTATCCTTTATATTAAGGACTGATTTTTTGAGCAATGAACGAAAATATTATGCAGAAGATGCTAAAAGAATCAAATCAAAAGAAATCAACAAAAACTTTCAATTTTCTAATGTGTCAGAAAAATATTGTGCACAAGGAATTTTTGAACATTTTTTCCGAATCTGAATCATTGTGCTATGTAATTCATATCCATATCGTTGTTTTCATATTGAAGAATGTTGATGATCCTAAATAACCTGTTTACAAGAAATAATTGAAAAAAATCAAAATAATTAAAAAAATCCAATTTTTTCCATTTCTTATTTTTATTTTCTTATCGCTTTCATCTTTATCAGTTAATCTAATTATTTTCTTATTACTATATTTTATATATTCTCATCGATTTATTAGTTTCTCTTTTACATTTTTGAACACTCTTCAAATAAGATTAAATTTTAATCAACGAGTAGCTTTTCATATGTTTTCATGAATTTCTTAGTTTTAACATTGATGAAATTATTTCTTCATCAAGGCTTAAGTTCTCTAGATTCGTTATTGATAAAGCCTTAGTTTTGGTCGAGACAATTTACGATTTTTCATCATCAGTTGTTTATTATTAGAAACATTCTCAGAATTGACTGCATTTTGTGTACATTTTTCAGAGATTCAGGAGTAAATTTAGGTTTAGTGTTATTTTGGCCTACAATAATCATTAAAAGAAAGAGTTTCGAGGAACAAATAAAAATCAAAAAATTGATTGATGCATGACAGATGTTGATTTGAGTGAGAGAATTAAAATTCTGACCTTAATTTCGACATTAAATGAGAGTAAAACAAGATAATGACTTTCTTTTTAACTCTACTGCTGTTATTTGTATGTCTGAATTGATTTATTTGTTTAACTTGCAATAAAACAATTTATTGATAGAATTTAAGAAACTCATCTTATAATTTGTGTGGTTCCTGTTTTCTTTGTTTTTATAAATTTTTGAATTTTTGGATGCTTCGTCTGCAAATCATTGCTAAACAGTCCTTCTAGTTTTTTTTTTTTGAATTTTTAATGTTTCACAATTTTTGAAGTTTTGAAGAAACAATTTTTTTCAATTTAAAGTTTTTTACTCAATGCCTTATTATCTGCTTTACCGACATTAATGGGGTTAAAGAAGACTTTCAAGTTTCAGAAACCAACAAACTTCAAACTTAGAAATCAATATACTGTATCCACACTTCTTTTGCCATTTTTTGGGCAAACTTATCTAATTTGTAATGTCGTGAGCATTGTTCGAATCCTTGATAATACCGACAACACTCTAAATAATCATTTAAAGAATGGGCTCTGATGGGAGTAGAACTCACAAATCGCACCACAGAGGCTTAACACTTGGAATGGCAGATTCACCTTTTTATGGTTTGATACACCAGATTCCTCTCTGCTCAGACACCACACCATGTTAGAAAATACAATCCATGGGCTTCACTTAAAAGCATAAGTGGAATTTGAATGTGACTTAGAAGGAATAAGAACTGTTTCTGATGCTGAAATATATCAGAACCTGGTAAGGAGCTTCTTTAAGAGCACTTGGGTTAGATTCTACTCATTAGCTCTCAAAACGGCTCATGCTGTGAACATACATTACAAGAGCTGTAGAACTATAACCTATCTGATCCGTGCTTCCGTTTTATAAAATTTCGAAATCAAGAAGCATAAAATTGATTAATTGATAGAGTCAAGCAATTGATTTGATATCATGTATCAAGGATTCTAAAGGAATTATCTTCAATCAAAGTCAAAATAAACAAATTAAAATTAAAAGGAAACCAAACTCCATCCATTGAAATTCATCGTACGAGAAAAGAATTGTTTCTTCAATTTTTATTCCGATAATAGCCTAAATTTCATTTGTTTTCTACAAAATTTTTTCATTTTCGCATGCATTTGTGCTCAATTCATAAATTCATAGCACTTTCTCTTGATTATTTCATTAATACTTAGGTTAGGTATCTTGATTTTAATTTGTTTTTATATAAAAAGAGAGGAGAAACAATTCCATTAATTTGGATTATTCAATAATTCTACTCCTTTAATTTTGAACGTCTACAAATATTTTTTTACGGTTAAACGAGTCAATTTAGAACATAAAGTCTTAAGGTAATCCGAAATACAGGTTTGTGGACGATGATTCTAGTGACTATCGGATCACTAATTGTGGTAAAATCTTCTTTTGAATGTATAAATTTTTCTTCTTACTCGTTTCACAAACCTTGATCGCATTTATCACTCGAAAACATAGAATACCCAATACCCGACATTAAATGCTAAAAATGATACAGGAAAAATTACTCTAGAATATTTATCAATAATATTGACATCCTTAATTGTTGGTATTGATGCACGAAGGACAGATGCACCACGTTTTAGAGCATGCAACATTTTAGGACGGTGACTATTTTTTGCTGCACGATGCCTTAGACCACTACGAATGGCTGATGTTGTTGTTCCACCATACGTTCGAGTTATTCGAAAACTTGGTGGAAATTTTGCTAAGTCAAGATTCTCTGTCGCACCACTTTGATAGTGTCGATTTCTCAGTGATGCTATAGGTGACATCCTAATATCCTGTAATTCTATTATATCTTCATGTGTATTTGATGATGAATGACTATGATGACTGTGATGACTATGTTGATGACTATCTGTTCTACCTGAAAATAGAATAGATTGATATAGCATAATGTTAAGATCTGCTCAGTTTGACCCAAGGCGTAGAAACTCAGGATTCTCAAGGCCTTTTTAGGATTTTTGGGATTTTTCAGAATTATTCCTGAGTTGTCACGCCTTAGTTTGACCAATCAATGCTATGAACATGACAGAAAATGGGGGAGGGTGTCTAATTGTATCCAACAGCTAGTTTATCGGGTAGAAACCCAATGCGGATATATTCACACCGTACCATCAAAAGTCTTATGGATAGACCAAGATTTTATAATAAAAAGTTATAACTAATTTTTGTCATAATTATGTCAGCTACAAAAACACTTAGTTTGAATTTCGTCAACCTTGGGAACACTATGAACCAGTATAGCTCACACTAATTTGAACCACATTTTCTCGTTAATGTTAAAATATTATTAAAAAGTAATTAATCCTGAATTATGTCGCTATTTTGTCAAGTGTTTTAAGATAAAGAAATTGTTTTTTGGTTTCCACAGTGAAGAGTATGAACAAAATTCAGATGGGGTAGTCGAAATTTTAGATTTCGGTTTTTTTTAAGCTATGCATTACAAAAAGTAATATTGGTATGTGATTTATGTCAGAATTATGTCAATTCAAATAAAACATACAAAAAATTTTCTTGACCAAAGTAGACCATAGAAAATCAATTTTCAATTTTGGACTAGGGGCGACCCTAGTCAAAATCAATTTTGTCACTTTTTTCTTCGAGGGTTTATCCAAATGGATTGAAACTTTGCATAAATATTCTGGTGCTTAAAACTAATACAAATAAAACATCCAAAAAATTTTTTGAGCAAAGAACCAAGTAGGAAATACATTTTCAATTTTGGACTAGGGGCGACCCTAGTTAAAATCAATTTTGTCACTTTTTTCTTCGAGAGTTTATCCAAATGAATTGAAACTTTGCATAAATATTCTAGTGCTTAAAACAAATACAAATAAAACATCCTAAATTTTTTTTGAGCAAAAAACCAAGTAGGAAATACATTTTCAATTTTGGACTAGGGGCGACCCTAGTCAAAATCAATTTTGTCTCTTTTTTCTTCGATGGTTTATCCAAATGGATTGAAACTTTGCATAAATATTCTAGTGCTTAAAACAAATACAAATAAAACATCCAAAAAATTTTTTGAGCAAAAAACCAAGTAGGAAATACATTTTCAATTTTGGACTAGGGGCGACCCTAGTCAAAATCAATTTTGTCACTTTTTTCTTCGAGGGTTTATCCAAATGGATTGAAACTTTGCATTAATATTCTGGTGCTTAAAACAAATACAAATAAAACATCCAAAAAATTTTTTGAGCAAAGAACCAAGGAGAAATACATTTTCAATTTTGGACTAAGGGCGACCCTAGCCAAAATCAATTTTGTCACTTTTTTCTTGGAGGGTTTATCTAAATGGATTGAAACTTTGCATAAATATTTTAGTGCTTAAAACAAATACAAATAAAATATCCTAAAATTTTTTTGAGCAAAGAACCAAGAAGGAAATACATTTTCAATTGTGGACTAGGGGCGACCCTAGTCAAAATCAATTTTGTCACTTTTTTCTTGGAGGGTTTATCTAAATGGATTGAAACTTTGCATAAATATTCTAGTGCTTAAAACAAATACAAATAAAACATCCTAACATTTTTTTGAGCAAAGAACCAAGAAGGAAATACATTTTCAATTTTGGACTAGGGGCGACCCTAGTCAAAATCAATTTTGTCACTTTTTTCTTCGAGGGTTTATCCAAATGGATTGAAACTTTGCATAAATATTCTAGTGCTTAAAACAAATACAAATAAAACATTTTAAAATGTTTTTGAGCAAAGAACCAAGTAGGAAATACATTTTCAATTATGAACTTGGGAAAGGTCCATTCAAAATCTAGTTAGAAAACGGTGTGAATATAAAAAAAAACATGACACCCCCGAATCTTAATGTAAGAATTATATGACCAACTATTGTAAGCTAGCTTAGCTAAGCTCAATCCAATTCAAATCAACTTCATACTTACTTGTAAGCTTCTTATCGCCTCCCTTTTTACTTTTGCTTTTCTTTTTAGCTCTTTTACCCCAATATGTGTAATTTACAGCTGCATATTCTAATAATGCCGCAAACACAAACACAAAACTCATTACAAGATAAATATCAATTGCTTTTACATAGGAAATTCTCGGCAGTGAACTTCTTACACCTGTACTAATTGTTGTCATTGTTAAAACGGTCGTGATACCTAGAATGAAAAGAATGATTCTTTTGTTATGAAAAATGAGTGATAAAAGGACAAAAAGAAAATGTTCAATTTACCTAATGCAACTCGAGCTGATGTTGCCTCATGGTTTATCCAAAATGACACCCACGAGAGCATAACAATCAATATGCTTGGCAGATAAGTTTGAAAAATGAAATATCCTATATTTCTTTGTAGTTTAAATGACAATGATAGTCGTTGATATATACCCGTTGCTAATTTTTCCTGTCATCATTAAGATCAATTCATCAGCACATATATTATGGAACTAAAGCAATTAATATCAACTTTTTACCTTCCTGTCATTGGTTTCATAACCCATAATTGTAAATTGTGGTAATTCAGCATCCTCAACACCACGTATTGGGGTATTACGCCAATACATAACAACATCTGATACCGTATAACCATCTATGGTGTAGAAAATAAAACATAAATAAATATGTAGCTGTGGGAAGTAAGAAAAGTTTGAGTGCAAGTGCATAAAGCGCATTTTTCGAGAATTTATTTACTGTGTACTTATAGATGCTTTCTAAACCTTTTAGATTGTTAGTGCTTATGCTAATTTCGGAGCACTTATTCTACCCAATTTCAAAGTCACTCAAAATGATTCAATCCAACTTCAAAAATGCTCCAAAGATGCACAAGGCACACAAGAGTTATGTATATCACTTACAGCTCTCAATTTCTACCGTACAATTTTGTGAATCGAGTGGATAATAATGTAGGTCCATCATACATGCTAATGTTGTTGTAAATCTCATACCATATGTAACAGATCCATCACCTTTGAATGATATACAAAAGGGAAGAGGAATGAGTCTTACGTAATACGAATTTTATGATGAAAATAAATATTACAGCATACGTACCTGATAATCTAACCAATTTATTTCTTTCAGTGACATCGTGAAGGAAGCTTTTAAAGAGAAAATTCATTCAGCACATGAACAAATGGAACTGAGAAATGCTCACCTATTTTTATCATTAGCAAAAAATGTATCTGGCACCCAAATTTTTTCAGCAAAATCACCCGACAATGTTATCGTGTCTTTTGCCTCATCCTCATCACTTATTGACATATATTCACTATCATCAAAGTTATCTCCTTCCAGTGAATATGCATTAAATGCTAATCTCTCATCACGCCAATATTGATTTAAATACATTGTTATTGTGTAATCCTTAAAGTGAAAAATTAATTGAATGTGAATATGTAGTTTAAAATTGATAGGTTAGTAAAAATTAAATGGAATTTAATGACTACTTTTATAGAAATTAAAAGGAACTTGTTTCAAATTACATTATTGATGCGAACGTTTTGCATCTTTTTTTACTGAACACACAATTAGTGCGAAAGTTTTGCTTTTTTTCTGAACATACTGATGCGAAAGTTTTGCATTTTTTTAATTGAACTACATTTAATGCGAAAGTTTTACATCTTTTTCTGAACATATTGATGCGAAAGTTTCGCATCTTTTTCCATAATATTATTTATTTAATGCAGAATAGATGAAATCTAATCTTTTTAAGACAATAAAATTGCAAAGCATAAACTGTTCAAGAGATCAAAAATATGTGTTTAATATCCAAAAAAAATCCTTACCATATTGACTTCCGAAATTGAATCAAAACTAGCTGAAAAACACGCAAAAATTAAAATAATTTAAAATCCTGCTTAACAATCAAACATCATCCAGATCTTAGAAAGATAAAAGTTATTTTCTATCTTACCTACTGTCAAATCCATTCCAACATACAATGGTGAACCTTTCGAAAAAAAAAGATGTTTGTGAAGAAAACATGAAAATTGAATTTAAAGTTTAACGGAAAAGAGGAAAAATGTGATTTCCATAAAAAATTTAAAAGCCATATAAGATTCATACATAAATGCACATGCTTATGAAAATCCTAGTTGCATATAAATTTAAAATTCAATGCGCATTACCATATGATAATTCAAGAAAATGCATACGAACTGGATTTTTAATTATTTTATAATGGGGATTTTAATAAGTTTCATAGAGGAAGGTTTTGTAGAGATGAAAGTTGATTCACGAAAGTTTCTCGCTGTGCATTCTGATAAGAATATTAATAAGCTCTTTGGAAGTTTTGAGAATGAATCTTAAATTAGCAGCATTGAAATTTTATTTGGAAATAATTCAAGTTTATTTAAAAACTACTTTTTTGCTTCTATTACTGCATCTGATGCGAAAACTTTTGCATCCTTCACTAAAATTAATGCTAAATTATTCGCTTTAATTATTCCGTTTAACTCAGCATTTTAAAAAGATGCAAAAAGTTTTGCATCACTTTTTACTGGACATACTAATGATGCAGAATTTTTATTCAAGTTTTATAGCTTCGAGCTTAATACTTAGAATTATATCTTTGTATATTAAGATTTATTGGGACATTCTTCATCAAAACAACCCTCCAAAATTGCATTTTATTGCCTATAAATCATATTTTTATTCCTCCCAAACCAATGAACGCATCTCTTCTGTTTTAAGCAACAACAACACTGACTCTTATACCAAAGAATTTTTTTCTCATTAGCACGAATTACGTGAGCCATTAAGCACGCTGACGATGAAATGAAAAATTCTTGAAAAATAAAATTTTCTAAAGATTTTTAATTCAAGAAAAACGAGAAACTTTTAGGTGAGGCATAATCCATGTTCATGATTTGAATTAATTTAACATGTGCAATAAAAGTTTTCAATTTCTTCTTCTTGTCATATTCACACCAAACGTCTTATTGAATATAGTCACATAATATTTGATGAAAAAAGTTCAATATTTTAGCTCATCTCACCTCCAAAATTTGGCCTCAATCTTATGTCATATCCTTCGAGTATTCTTGCAATTGTTTGCGTAACATTCTCTAATCGACTTGCTGCCATCATTTTTTGCTCGCTGCGTTGAAACATGGAGATAATAAGTATTAAAATAATGTGAATAATGTGTTGTAATGTGAAAAAATTATAAAATGAAAATTAAGTATGCAGATTGTTTTTAAACAGTCATTATCCTCAATAAAGTATTGATTTGCAATTTTATTGTGCAGTTTTGGCATTGCCAATAGAAACACTGGGCATGATATCTCCCTACGTCTAGTTATTAACTAGATAGCATGTCCAGTGTTTCTCGCGGTATTTCTATGGATCAGAAACTTGTAAAAATACTGCCTAATACTAAATACTTAAGTAGCCCTACAAGCTTAAAATTAGCTCCTATGACACAAACTTCCAACACTGCATAATAAGCTATTAATGACAATATTTCAATTCCAGCTAATTAGAATCCTCAATTTGATACAGACACAGGCAATCATGTGAAATTTATTGACTTTAAATTGTTCATTTAATCTACAAGCTCCGCATAATGTGATTACAGCACACAAAATTCTCAGAACAATTCATTCCCAGACCATTAAAGTAAAAAATTAATTGAAAAAATTTCCTCGTCAGATACAAAAAGAAAATGCTTCTTTACAGATTCACAAAGCCTGCCCAAACACAAAAAAAGCCCACAATGTGCAAAGCTTCACGCTTCATTTACTTGTCGGATAAATGAGGTGCCATTTAACACAAAATGTGATTAATGATTTTTTCACTTCTTCTTGTTTCACTGTCCATGACTTGATAAAATCTGCGGAAAATGTAAAACAATTGTCGATTTAATTCACTCGTATAATTTAATTTGAAAAGCTTGAAAATTGACAAGGCTCACGCCTTTTAAATCTCAAGCGGCCTGTTTCACTAAAGTGGATTATCCTCGATTTCGGATTATCCACTTCAGTTTTTTGGAAATATCTCCAGACGCTTAAGGTTTTTAAGAGATCTAATGTGTGATCTAGTAAGAGTACTTTGCTACTTAAATTAACATATACTTAGAATTTTTATATCTTCATTAGTTTGAGAATTATAGCAAAAATCGAAGTTAATCTAGTAGATTTGGCTAGAAATTTGAATAATTAATACTTCTTAACGAAAAGCAAAAGTTTAAAGTGTACAGAAATTTCAGGCATAGTTCACTCTATTATAATCCAAAATTAGAAATACCACAACTCCCATAAAGTTTAAGATATATGCAAAAAACTGAATAGGATAATCCGAAATCGAGGATAATCCACTTTAGTGAAACAGGCCGAAGATTATTATAAGCTATCGATGCTAAAATTCCCACGTGTAAAATAAGATTCAATATTTACAGCTCTATGATTTTTATATAAAAAAAATAATGTGACGACGATGCAGCATGAATTGCTTTTTTATTTGAAATAAAAAAATTGTAGGTGTTGGTGTGACGTAAATTGTGTTTTGTTTAGCGGTTTAATAATCGGTACTTTTTAACGGTAAAATAAAATTTTAATTTTCTGAGTCGACCAATTTTATAAAGTTGATTGCCCCATTTTTGTGATTATTATCAGTCAATAAATTGTTTACATTAATTAATAACTTTAACTTAATTATTAGATATTTAAAAGCCTTTTTAAGCAAAACCAGAACGAACGGCCTGTTTCACTAAAGTGGATTATCCTCGATTTCTGATTATCCACTTCAGTTTTTTGTAAATATCTTAAACTTAATAGGAGGTGTGGTATTTCTTATATTGGATTATAATAGAGTAAACTATGCCTGAAATTTCTGTGTACTTTAAACTTATACTTTTTGTTAAGAAGTATTAATTATTCAATTTTCTAGCCAAATCTAGTAGATTAACTTTGATTTTCGCTATAATTCTCAAACTAATCAAGATATAAAATTTCTAAGTATATGTTAATTTAAGTAGCAAAGTACTCTTACTAGATCACACATTAGATCTCTTAATAACCTTAAGCGCCTGGAGATATTTCCATAAAACTGAAGTGGATATTCCGAAATCGAGGATAATCCACTTTAGTGAAACAGGCCGGAAGGTATTTTGCAAATAAAGCTTGTAAACTAGAAATAGAAATAAAATTTCAGGAAAACGTTCTAAAATCTTAAATCAACGCAATCGGTTGCAGCCATAAATCAATATTCAACATTTATTTCATAATAATTTTGTGATAAATTTTCGAAAAGCTAGAACTTCTATTAATTACGTCTGAAATCAATCTGCATAAATGATAGACATTGCAATATTTCTTCAATAAATATATTCATGAGATATTTCATATAAATCTGAATAAAAAATATTGATTTAAGCCTTTGCTTATATCTCCTACACAACCAGACCCGATTAGCACACATCAAAATGTTTTTTATACAGCTTGATAAAAATCAGCCACTGTTTAAGTTTATTATGAATGCCGTGTATAAACTACTTTAATGTGTGCTGATCGGGAGAAATCATTCAACTGATGTTTAGACTAAATCTATGTATCGAGTGAATGCTAATTGAAATATAACAAATTTATTAAAAGACTTTCCAATAACCTATTCTTACCTCTGTTTGACTGAAAATCCAAGCAAAAAGCAATGTGCAATGAGAAGAATTTGCAAAATCCACATATTGAAATTTCACTCGTTATCTCAGCAGTATGTGATTAAGTTTGAGTCTTGTATGATGACAAGTCGGCTAATTTATTATGTTAATACTTCATAAACTATTTACTAATTCCATTGAACATAATTTTTTAATTAGTTTACTATAGTTCACATTATAATATCATAATTTTTCACTTTTAATTAACATTATAAATTCAATTATTTTATTTTAGATACTTTAATCTACGTCACTTCCACTTTAAATTTTTTTCTTTTACATGTGCAGTTAACATTCATGTGAAAATTAAATTACTTTTCCTTTTTTTTTCTTGATTATAGCTTATTATATGATGGATGCGATGAAAACTATCCGTCTATAAGTAGAAGCATTGTTAATGAGTAAATGGACTTAGCAAAAATAAGAAAGAATGTATGACGAAAGAGAAGAAACAAGTGATGAACTGGATTTTTGATGAGGTTAAAAGGTTGTTTGAAGTTTGGTTGTGATTCAATATGATGTAGGATCCAATATTAAAGTTTTTTTTGAAAAAAAATTAGTTCACTAATCTTTATGCAAAGCTCCCACAGATTATAATCTTTAAATAATCCCATATAAAGATTATAATCTTCAAAGATTTGCAAATCTGGATTCTTCTAACCTAGAAACCATCGGCGTAGTGTCTGAGCCCATGCTAGAAACTCTTTCAGTAAAGGCTGTCAAAATTATTATAACCTGAGTTTTGCTTATTAACAGTTTTACAGTCCTTTGGCAATTTACTGTTTATGAGTCATGAATTAATTTTAATACAAATTTCTACTCCATGTCTTCTTCGTCAATTTTACATTATCATTAATTTGAATTAATAAGTTATTCAATAACAGCAGGAGATTTTTATCTTTAAGGAAAGTAAAAAAATTCTGAGAATTTTAAATGAGATTTATTAATTGAAAGTTCAAAGTAAAATCTTCTTCTTTTCATAGTCTCTTAGTTTTTCGGGTTGATAGGAATAAAATAAAATACCCTAGCAGAAATTTACTAGTAATTTCCTAGTAATTTACTGGATAACTTTCCATTTGCTACTTGCTATTTACTAGTCAAAATCCAAGTTCAAATCATCGCCAAAGACCCGCATTTTCACTTGCTAATTGACTAGTCAATTCGCTTACAATTTAACTAGTAATTTACTAGCAAATTTGTAAAAAATTTAAATGAATATAACCGTTGATTTCCACGTGTTTTTTTGATTTTTTTATTTATGTAAATTATTGTAAAAGTATTAGTGTGTACTTAGTTTAATTAATTAAAGTACACTAATACTACGAAAAAATAAATAAAAGACTTAATTTAATTAAGTCAAACACTGATGAACGCTTATGACTCGCACGCAAACCTGAGGAAGATAAATAATTAAATTGAATGTCTCATACAAATTTGGATCGAGCTTATAAAGGTGATTTCTGCGCGCTCTTGTGAAGTATATGGCAAATGCCAAATTTAGAACAAAATTTTTTATGATGCAAAAATTTCTTTTTTTGATGATTTTTCGTAGGATTCGAACTTAAGAAGATTTGATCAAACATTTCTCATGGAAATTTGCTAGTAATTTGCTATTAAATAGTAAGTGTAATTTACTAATAGTAAGTTGTTTTAATAATAACTAGTAAATTGCAAGTAGTAAAATAGAAAGACTAGCAATTTGCTAGTTAGTCTCGCTAGGGATAGAATAAGACTAAGTTGAGTTTAATGACAACCAAATCTAAATGCAATCAATCTTGGGTTTCTCGGTAATCTTGAGTTTTGTCTACACTCTTCTTGGATATTCACGATACAATAGATTCCAGTCTTTATAATCAAGATTACACTAGATAACACTTTAAGAATAACATCGATGTCTTAAAGAAACACCTGGCGATCCTCTGTCTTAAACTAAATTCCTAAAGTTAACAACTCAAATCCACCAAAAAAATTAACAATTTAATTTAATCAACTAAACTGATTCTAGAAGTAATAAAAAGGATAACTCGTGAAAATTCTTTGAAGAGCACTTACTAATCGACATGATTAAAATAAGCTCTATAACAGATTTCATAAAATTAATTTAACAATTCTCATGAAACAAAACTCATTAACGGTATAATTGATTCTCATCTTGTTGGTATTATTTTACAGACACTACACTTCAATCAAATAATATTATTTCAATTTAAAAATGATTATTGAAGTGCTTGAAAAACAGCATCAGCTTCAAAGTTTCCAGAAACAGTAAAGTTGTTGTTAATAATAAAATAGTTTGGCATGGAAACAAAAACAGTTTCGATTGCACATTTTTCTGTAATTTTTTAATCGTTCTTTTATTTGTTTCAGTAATCTCTGCATGAGGTTTTGAGAAAGTTTTATAATTATAGAAATAATGAAGTGCATTTTAAAAAGCTTCATGTCACGTAAAAATAGAGCAAAGCTTTTAATGTGCAGTTATGAGATGAGCCTGCATCTTAACCATGACACAAAAAAGTGGAATTACAAAGTGAATAAAAGCTTTAAAGGATATAACGACTAATAAATTCAAAGATAAATACTTGTAGGATGTGAATGGAGAGGAACAGCAGGAAAGAACAGAGAATAGAAAGAAAAAAGGTCAAGAGACTGTGACATTGAAGTGGGTCTGTTACAAAAGAATGTAAGTGGAGATATTTGGTATCGTAATCATCATATTTCAACCTATATTAAATCTATTCATATGTTGATTGGAACTTACAAGATGAAAGTATGACATAAAGTAACACTTTCATTTTCTTCGTTCAAGAATTCGTCATCGAAAGTTTTAATGAATATTTTGAATGTGCACTGTGAGGATTCATGGCTTGGAAAGTTCAATTTCTTCTCTTGTAAATTGATATCATTTGTCAATTGGGATATTTATTTTTCTGTTGGGAATATGAAGACCTTTTCATTGACGAAATTGATTATTCTGTCTTTAATGTGGAGAAATTTGTCAATTTTTTTATATTTTTATTATAGATTTTTGATGAATTTCATCAATATATTTAGCTTTAGAGCTTTTAAGATCAGGTCAGGATTGTGACCAAGCGAGTGACGAAACATTATCTCAATATACAGAAAGCGAAACCAGTTGAGTGATTAAGTTGACTAAAAATGACTTGACTATATACAAAATCTTGACTAGCTTCGTCATCTGCTCATGATCTATATAAGATCAAAAATCAAATATTATCTTCAAAATTGAAATTTACTCATATCCAAATATGTTTTCATGCATTAAGTATACCGACCAGAACGAGGCAAAACTCACTCATTTTATCCATTAAGACATTTAAATCCATTCCTATTTTTTCCACTTTTAAAAAGTATTCTCAATTTTTCAATTAAGTTATTGAAGCACTTAATTGCTATTCATCAAAATCCCTTTCATATCACTTCTCCTATAAAAATCCGTAAAGTATGCAATTCATCATTCGAGTAAAACAAAAAAAATCTGACTTCTTTTCTAATGCAAATGAATTCTTTTATTTACATCCATAAGAACTTTTTCATCTACTTTTGAACAACAATAAAAGCATATTGTTAAGAACAGCACACAGAAAAAACGTATAATTGCTTTCCTGATTCTATTCGTGTGTATATGCCACAAACATAAAATTTAAATAAACAAAACGATTAAAGTTGTAGAGGAGTATAAAACAACTGCTAAGGAATTCATTATGCCAAAACAACACTTTTCCTGTTCCTCATCCTTTTTATGTAGTTTTGTGATATCAGTGGTTCTCAAACAATGTTCTTCGACACCCTTGTGCAATGATTCTCATAATTTTTGGATCTAGACACACCAGATGTCATGTCTAGCACTAGTTTGTCGCTAAAACCGTCAAGTATATATGGTATCAGGTGTGTCGCGGTCCATTAAATTTGAGAACCACTGGAATAGACTAATTTTTCAAATGAGAAATGTAATGTAATTCAAGTAAATTTTTATCATAATGATAAAAATGCTCCTGTGCTTTGGGAATTATATAATTTAAGTGAATTACTTCATGTATCCGCACACATACATGAATGTATACACATGTCCATCTAACAATGATGAATGAGATTTCTCCTTTAAGATAATTATTTTATTTGAAACAAAAAAAAATTCTTTCATTTTGAGGAAAACCACAGGAAAAAATTCATCCCTTTCCTATGGTAGATTATAGGATTAAAATGAAGATGAGAGAATGAAATGAATTGTACCTTAAAGCATTTTAGCAAACTATTGGCATGTCAAAATCATTCTATTTCCCTTTCCCATTTTCATCCTCAACCAACTTCTTCATCAATTTACATTTTATGTAAACCTAAATGTGTATCGATGCATACCACATATCATTTTATATGAATATAGGATGGAAAAAGTTTAAGTTTGAATTTTGCATATACACGAAAATATTTTTGAAAAACTTTCTCAAGTGACAGACGGAGATGGAAGAAACAATATGGAAGGATATGATTTGCATGAGTTGATGCTCACATTGGGCTTAATAAGCGCATATCTGATTGAACTAGAATTGTCCTGGATTATGGAACTATCCAACCGAAGAACTCTTGGATTGGTTGTGTTGAAAAGGACGCTAGAGTCCTGAATATCCTGAACTGGCAGAAGGTGTCTAAGGATAGAGCAATCTTTATACCTTCTCTAATCGCGGCAATGGGCCCAAGTGCGCCTCAGCCATGGAAGTAAGTAAGTAAGGAATGAAACTAGATTTGTTATAAAATGTGGACTAGTTTGATAACTGTAGTTGTAAAATTGTGGTTTATAGCCAATGATGACTTTTCAATCTACTCTTTAAACCATTTCTTACTATTCCATCCTGACTCAGATTTTAAACAGAAGAATTTGGGAAAGCATCTCTTGTAAAATTGAACAAATTGTCTTGTCAATCCAGTCATACTCAGTGTTAGTCTGAGACCTTCATCGTAAATTTTGTAATTGAAGTTATGAACACTATGATCGATTTTATCATCGATCAGGATCGCAATGCCTCCAATTCAATGCAAAGTGTAACTAGACAACGCTTTGCTGGAACTCATTTCATATTATTTACACTTAATCAACTGTTTAAAACTGCTAAGTTCTTAATTAACAGCAACCCTTTCCAATTTCCTTCCAGCTTCATTACAAATTGTCGCAACCATTTTAAAATTTCAAACAAACTTAATTCATTCCACAATACAAAGCATTAAACCAATTGTCAAAACACTTGCAAACGCCTTCATTCACTTTATTCTGAAGAACAATAAAGCGTTTTGAAATAAAAGACGGAAGTGATATGTGAGTAACATCAATGTAAGTAAGTAGCACAAAAAAAAATCCATTCAACAATGACAAATAGGAGAAAGTAGAGAAGATAAAAAGTTTACATTATTTAAATGTGTGAGAACGATGGATGGAGGATGGGAAAGGACACAAAAACACGTACAATTATTGTACACAACTGTCGTCATATGGTTTAAGTAAAAGATAATAACATGGATATTATATACCATATGAATGAATAGAGTATGTAAATTATTATGTGATGTTGCATTTGCAGAACCGTGGATGCATATATATACTGTCACATGAAATCATGATAATTCAAACATCGTTTCCACTTCCACGCTCATTCTTTTTTTTCTTTCTCATTCTCTCATTTTATCCACTTCAACAAAAGCTTTTTGTCATTAAAATTTAGGTCTGTAGAACATGTGCATTAAGTAGTGGCAACTGTATTCTGTATGTTCTTGTGCATCCTCTGTTAATGTGAATTGAAGAAAGAGAGAAGGGATATGTGATGTTTTTTTTTTTAAGAAATGGATGAGGATTTATGATTTAGAAGGATTTTTATGGCACAAACCTAGTTTATCACTATAAGAGACCTTACTAAAGTCGTTAGCTTAATTAGGGCATCAATACTAATTTGTTAAATTTTTAACTTAGTTTTTCAATGAATTACAGAATGCTTTCCAGTAGAATCTAGTTCTGTGTCACGTAACATAGTTTGAGAAACACTGGCTTAGAAAATAGCATAAAGCTTGGTTACATATGATGTCCAGGTAGGAAAGGGGACACTAAATGACCAATAAGTAAATGATTAATAGGTTATCTTCTAAGTCAGTGGTTCTCAAACATTGTTCCACGCCACATTCCAGATTGTAATCTTATGAAACCACAACACTAATGCTGATTTTCTACTTTTTAATTCATTAAAATTATGCGCCTTAGTCACAACAACTTGATGACTTCAACATTTTTTTTTCATTTTTTTAATTTTCTCTCCTTTTTCATGTACATGAAAAAACTTCATTCTTTTCTTGGCAATGAATGGCTGTTTGAGAATTTGCATGTTATTCCTCTCATTTCTTTTTCCTTTTATGTGATTATCATTATGCAAAAAAAAAGTGTGAGATTTATGACACATTTAAAAATCATTGATATGAAGAGATTTTATGATATTAGTTTGGTAGGTGTCTGAAATGACTTTTTAAATCCACAGTTTTTTTATTCACATTTAAATTCTTTTTAAGTCGTTTTTTGTGGGGTTTTTTACTCGAATATCTTGTTGAATATATGCTCAATTTATCCTATTTGAATATGTGATCTGACTTGATTTGTTCTCGATATGCATTATAGAATGAGTTTATAACAAATGGATGGATTAGTGGACTTAAGTACTTATATGAAATGATGTGATGCAAAAGTCAGAAAGAAATAAATCTTTACATGACTTGAAATAAAGCCAAAAGCTTATTGCCTTTTTGAATGAAAAACCGGATAGAATTAATTTTGAAATTTTATAAAAAGTTTGGTGAAATATTCAAAATAGGTAATTAAGGAACCAGGTTTGGATCCTAGGGAAACTACAAAAACCGGTTTCAGAGACAAAGAAAGTAGGCAATCAGGACTTCTGCTCCAGTTCAAAAAGAGCTTTCTGCTTTTATTCCTTATAAGACAATATTCATAATTTATCTAGCAGAGAATCAATGATAAAATCCCTTCAGCATCTTTTAATGAGTTCGCATTCATAAAATAAATTTAAAGGTTGTTAAATTGTCCATTAAAGAAAAAAGAAATTTTCATTGATTGAAAGGTTTCGTCATTATTTTAGACGCATAAAGGAATATTGATCGTCGAAAAAGGTACAAGAAATTGTTTCTTAGGTTCTTAAAATTTGTTATTTTCAGCATTTTTCTTGTAAAGAAATTTTTAAATTCATCATTTTAAATTGAATTTCGATGTTTTGGACCATTTTAAATATTTTAAGCCTTTCATCACAGTTTCTGGATTTTAATTCACTTTCGTCTTATTAATTTTTTAAGTACAAAATCCAATAAATCATTCAAATGTTCTTAACTTGTAATTCGCAAGGAAATTTTTCTTAAAATTTGAGTTTTTTGCTAATTTTATAACTTTATAATGTCCATACTAAAGATGCGAAGAATAAGAAATTAAATAAATTTTTATCACGTCCTCTTGCTTGTCCTCTTTTTCGTCACACAGTCAAAAAAAGAAATTAAATAATTTTTGTAAGAAGAAAGTAGAAAATATGAAATAATCAACGTTTGATGATTAAAGCGCTTTTTTCTCAAAAATATGAAGTTGAGGGATCGTTCATAAATGATGTCAACCATTAAAAAAAATGGTTTCT